TCCAGAAAAGGCCCCAAGGGTCCCCTGCGCCACCGCTGCGCCGGGGCGGGTATCGGGACATGGCTCCCGCAGGGGCGAGGCGCTGCCTGCTCACCGGCACAGGGAGGTGAGGGAGGGAGCGGGCCCGCCCAGCACGGCCATTACCCCGGAGCCAGGGCGCTCTGCTCCCTCCTCCCGGGGTCCCAGCAGGAGAAGCGGACGTGTGTGCGGCCCCTGGAAGGGTGTGAGCCAGTTCCTCAGTGTCCCTGCCCACCTCTGACCCAGGTACAGCTCAGAGATACACACCGAGCCTGGAAGATGTTCAGAAAGACTCAAGCGTGGCTACTGAAAACTGTTTGACCTCCGAGCAAAAAGAAGTCGTGTGGGAGGGTGAGGTCTGGAGTGGCTGAGACACCCAGCTAGAGCCTGAGCAAATTGACGCCCTATTTATCGCAGGAAGTATTTGATTCCTCCAATAAAGCCATGCAGCAATGGTCTGGTAATGACATACCAGAGGAGAGCGGAGGCCCGAGTTATGGTCAGCTGTCACTTCAGCAAATGATGCTTCTCACTTGAGCTAGGATGTATGTGCATTTCAGGTTCCTCTTTCAGCTTGAGCCTCTGTTTACCTTTATTCTGAAAGCTGTGAAGAGATTGACTTCATTTTGTGAAGTAGCATTTTGATGCACGTGTAGTTGCACTGCAACTGGAGTGCTTGTGCAACAAGAATTTGTTATCTCAGGGAACTAGCAGTGGCAGAGTTTGGACCTTGGAGAAATGGGATGGGTTTTGGTAACATCTCTCAAGGGTGTTAGAGTTTTTACCCTGTTTTTGGAATATCATCTGAGATGAGAAATTCAGTTCTTTTTCTGATACGGAAGCACTTCAGCAATTCAACTGTGATTTCATTGACTTCATGATTAAAATAGTTATGGGTATTTTTAATGTACCATGAGCTAAAATTAATCTCCATTCTGCAGTTATAAATGTTGGTGAAATTTCATCTCACTCAAAATCAAAGGCAAAGCTCTGTTTTCAGTGGGGCAGAGGGCTGATTGAGAGAATCTGGTAAGATAAAAATCATCCATCAATGTTCTAGTCCCCAGTCCCTGTGCCTATGACTTCTCAGAGGGGCTGTTTTGATGTTGGCTTCTTTTGCTGTATGATTTGGGGTTTTTTGCAAAAATTCCTAATCTGTAACCCCCATTTGCTATTTATTTAAATGTGTTTTAGTACAGACAAATATAATAACTCCTAGGCATATTCAGTCATTAAAAGATAAAATTTTTATTTAAAGAAAAAAGTATGTCTTTTGGATTCTGTACAAGTTCATTCTTTCACAGTATCTAGTGCTGAAAAGTGATATGTCCCAAGGAGATCAGCTATTGACCACCCTTATGCATTTAGAAGTGTATCTCCCAGCTGTTTCTGAGGGACAGAGCCGAAATCTTTTGGAAGTACTTCACTGTTATTACAGAGGTTCTTTGATCCAGAAGGAATGAACACATTTTTTAAAAGAAATCTTTATTGAAAAGTTACAAAGCAAAAATCAATTGTATTCAAAATAGTGCTAGGTATACGATAATGCATAATAAGTATTAATGAGAAATAGTTGTATGTTCTAACGATTGAACACATAAATTGGGATATCAAGGCATGGTGCTGGCTGTGTGAACCACTCAAGACACTTAAACTCTCTCCAGATCATTGGTTTCATTTGTGGAAAAGATAGTTTTACCTAATATTTAGCCAGTCTCGTAATGTATTCTGCCATTGTGTGTTTCTAGGTCATATATGACCCTAGGAAAAGGCACTCTGGGACTTGTGTATATAGTGTTTATCCTGGGCAAACTGGTAACAAATGGTGGGACTTGGACAAGCAATACAAGGAAACTGCCAGTAACAGTCTGTGAATGCACTTAAGTGCATGAATTCACCTAAAGTCAGGTCAAAACGTCAGGAGAAGGCCATGACCAGATGGTGAATTCCACTCAGAGTGATCTTCCAGTGAAGATGCCCTTGAGGTGCTGCCACCAGAACTAATGTTCACTTTTCCAGTATTATTCCCAAAGACGTGTTTGTCCAGAAATATGTTGTCTTGTATGGTGGGGCCTGAAAAAAAAAAGTCCTTGCAAAGACCAAATCCTGAGGTGCTTTTCTCAGTTTTGTGTGGTCACAGTGGAGAGGATTCCTCACTCTGAGAGCAGGCAGCAGCAGGGGCCCTTTCTGTGCAACCACAGGTAGTGCTTACGGCAAACATTTACAGGTATGCCATTGTTGATACCTGTTTGGAAGCCTTTGTGGCTGAAACCCATAATTTCAGAAAACATTAGGCCTCTCCAGAGCTTCCAGTTTGGATGCTGTATTTAGGGTACTGGTGCTGCTATAGCTATTCTGAGCTGCCCCAGATTGTGTTTGGATGGATTGGGCATGGCTTTGGAAATACAGAAACAAAGTGTGTGTATGAACAAGCATTCAGCAGAGAATTTGTAAAGTTTCTGTAGGTGTTGTTGCCCTTATATCCGTTCCACATTCATCCTTCCATCTCCCTTTTTTCAGGGTGTGATTGAAAAGGAAGCTGGGAAGGCAGAGGCAGATGGTACTTCCTATGCTGAGAAGCACGGACAGACTCATCCTGGACATAGTAGACAGGTATTGTTAACAAACTTTGAGATCATATTCACAAGCATATATGCCCTCTTAGCTGAAGCAGCATGTGGTGGACAAGAAGAGCTTGTTATCTACAGTAACTGATTGATTTCTCTTTTTCAGAGCATAGAGACTGGGAAAATAGCCGATTGCATGTTTATCTAAAATTAACAGAATTGTCTCTTCAGGCAGAGGCCCCAGAACATGTTTGGAAAAGAGAGAGAAAAAGACCTAAAATCTGAGAACTTGTGGATATATCTGGCTAGGAAGATAAATATGAGAAGAGTCTCTGAGAAAGACATGTCTATATTTCAGGGAAAATAGGAGGCTACTAAGTCTTGCTTTGCAAAATTCAAATGTTGGGTTCTTTGTTATGTTGGAATTCATTTAAGGTAAAATACAGTCTTAAGTGCTGGAAACAGTGGAGGAGGCTGTACCTACATTGCAGAAGGTCATCAGCTCTTAAAGCAGAAGACTGTTGTAGGTCAAACATTACCAGTAGTATTTGCAGTGATTTTATATGGCACTAGTTTATAATTGAGTTAGTAGTTTTGCTCTGTTCACACTTAGTGAGCTGTATTTTAATACTGAGAGGGACGGATTCCATTGTTTTTATTAACGTTGAGTTGCAGTCAGTGGAACTAATTGTTGAATAAGGTATGCTCAGCATGAGGATGAGCGATGGAATCTAGCCCAGATGGAAATACCTTTTATAAACTACTGCTGTATTAGAGAGCAGCCATCTCAACATAGGCAACTCTAGCATGTTGCTAAAAGTGCTTCAAGCCATTCTTGTGGTGCACTGCAATATTTTTACAGATGAATACAGGAGTTGTTTTAAAGTGATCCCCCCTCCCCCAAGGTTGAATCCTATTAACAGAAAGACTGGGAAAGCATCTGCATTGTATTTGTCTGTCCTGTGTTACAACACCAACAGAAAGTAGGTGAGCTAATGCAGTTTTGCAGAAATGGCTACTTAACTGCAGCTGTGTATAGAAGTCAGTTTGCTGAAAACGTTTCATTGTGTTCTGTTCTTAATGCAGTTTTCTGAGATTTATTTTCATTCTGTGGCCTACTGTTCTATCCTGTGCAACTTTCTTGGTAGTAGAAAAGTAGCGATGCAGTTTTGTATACACACGTAAAATCTCCTGGAGGAGAATACTAGCATGCCTGTGTGGTAAACTGAGAAATACAACATAGATGCAAAGTGCCATTTTCAACATGAAACTGAATTTATTTTCAAGCAAAATAGGAGTATTGCTTACAGTATTACATAAAAGCGTGAGACAATTTTTCAATAAAGCAAACCCCAGTTGCATAAAAGATGTTTTATATGACAACAAAAAAACCCCTAGCTGCAGGGAGCTGATCTAGGTAGTTGCTGCTCTTAGGTGACCTTGGTAGCCAGTGTACAGAAAGAGAGGTGCTCCTGTAGGAGATGAACGAAGGGATCCGGATACCTCTGAACTTCTAACCAAGCTGGCTAAAGTAAAGGCCTTAGGTGTGGTGGTGCTAATAGCCTCCCTAATTGAACACTGCCCTAATTGAAATGCAAAACTAATCTGGAATTGCATCACAGAGAGTGGCTGTTAACAAGTGTGCTGCATTTTCACTAGGATCTTATTCCTCTACTGAGGACCATGATAGGGAGTACAAGAAATTGCAGTAGTACCATAGCAATACCATAATTTAGCTAGGGCTCTGTATGGCAATTAAAGCAACCATCCTAGGTTAAGTCTTGATAGAGCCCTGAGCTAGTGTCTTCAGCAACACTTGCAAAATACACCCTAGAACCTGTAAAGATCACATCTAATGAGAACCTGTAATTTTTCTCTCAACTGCTGAGGATGAGAAAGGCCAGCTAGGCTAATAACTGTAGAGTAAACCAGCTCATTGTCTTATTCCCACTGTTGAAGAAATGTTTGTATCCTTCATCGTGGAGAAGTATACCACTAGAAATAGCTGGGCTGTAAGTAAATGAATTAGACTACTTAAATTGCTACTATGATAGAAATAATAGGTTTTTTTAAAGTTTAGCATGTTAGTAATGTAAAATATGTTAGTAATATAAAATATTTAATAATATAAAACTAAATCTTTGAATTTTCTGCCACATAGAAGTTTCCTCGTACTAAAGTTGCAGGGCTTTTGTTTAAATAAAAGTTATGTGTGCTGTTCTAACTAATTAATCCTATTAATCATTTAAGACAGAGGTTTAAAAGCTTCTGGCTTCTAGGAAGAATTGCATAGATAAAAGTGCAATTAATGCTAGCAATTTGGGTAACTAGCAACCTTGCTGTTGTTTAAAAAAAATAATGGCATGGGCTAGATTTTGAGATGCAACTCAACAGAGGACAAGGGGACAGGGAATAAAGCAGTAGGAGTGATGCAGCATCATGTCTCCCGAGTTCTGGTCTCAAGTTCACCCTCCATACAGGTCTGCCTTAGGAGCTGCCCTGCAGCTACAACAGCCACAGCATTAAAGGCCCTCCCTGCCCTGCTTCACTTTTGCTCCTGTCCCATCATTAGACTGTGGCAGCATGGTGGTGCAGTGTATGGTTGCATATATTGGCCCTATGCCATTTCTGTGCTGGGAAGATTCTCTCTGGGGTCGCTTCAGACCCTCTGCAGCTCCTGTACACTGATGGAGGGGCGGGCAGGGGCTGCAGTGCTGACTAGACTCTGGCTCTATGCCTGTTCTGAACTCTTTCTGCAACCGGTCCATAAAGTAATCTCCAAGGCTATTTCTGCCATCTTGGGAACAGTCAAGCCTACGAGCATTGGTCAGTAGATCTCCCATCAGCTTGATCTTCCGGATTTTGGGCCCGATAAACTGTTTCTTGATAGTACTCGCGCTATGAGGGTCTGCATTTTCAATGCTCAGGGCATAAAGCTCTTCAAAATATCGTATCATAGTTTTCCACTGTACCATTGCTACTTCCAGGGCTTTCATCAGACCAACTGCATACTCACAGTTTGGTTTCTAAAAACAAAGACAGAATTACATTTATTCAGAAGAACCGCTCATCTTACTGTATTCATTGATGGTTTCCTGCAACATACCTTGTACTCTAAACAAAATGTGCGAGAATTCTGTAACACCACCTAGTTTGGAGCATCTGTTGTTTTTTGCTGAGTTGGATAGCTGTGAACATACAGAAGTGGCAGAACCCAAGCACTTTTTCAAGGAACAGAGATTCAGATAGCAGTATCTAGGCCTGAGGAGCATTCTTGCACTAGGAAACCTTAACATAGTGTCCTGGTTTTGGCTGAGATAGATTTAATTTTCTTCCTAGTAGTTGGTATAGTGCTGTGTTTTGGACTTAGGATAAGAATATGTTGATAACACATTGGTGTTTTAGTTAGTGTAAACACTGCTTAGCAGCAAGTCAAGGACTTCTCAGCTCTCACAGCACCCCACCAGCAAGGAGGCTGGGGGCACAAGCAGCTGGGAGGAGACATGGCCAGGACAGCTGACCCCAACTGGCCAGGGGAATATTCCTTACCACACGACATCATGCTCACTACATGAACTAGGGGAGGAAGCGAGCAGCTGTGTGGTGTTTAGCTGCCTGACGGGCTAAACCCTGACACACAGAATCACAGAATGGTTTGGGTTGGAAGAGACCTTAAAGCTCATCCAGTTCCCACCCCCCTGCCATGGGCAGGGACACCTTCCACTAGCCCAGGTTGCCCAAAGCCCCGTCCAACCTGGCCTTGAACCCTTCCAGGGAGGGGGCAGCCACAGCTTCTCTGGGCAACCTGTGCCAGAGCCTCACCACCCTCACAGAGAAGAAATTCTTCCTTGTATCTAATCCAAATCTACCCTCTTTCAGTTTAAAACCATCACCCCTCATCTTATCCCTATGCTCCCTGATAAAAGAGTCCCTCCCCAGCTTTTCTGTAGGCCCCCTTTAAGTACTGGAAGGCCTCTATAAGGTCTTCCCTGATTCAAACTCAGTATTCAGAAACTATTTCAAGATGGTGTTTTTATTTTTACATCCTACAGCTTAATAACTGCTATGATAGACCATAGAAGAGCATTCTGTATTAACTATTTACAGAATACTAATTTGGCAGAGGAGAATCAGCCCCCTGATCTTTTAATAAATGAGGTAGGTTTTTTTCCTGATAACTTCGAATTATTCCTTTGTACCTGTGTGACCCTGACTCAGATCTCTAGTTCAAATTCTATCTTGAGCTGTGTTCCAACAGATCAACTACTACCCCAAGCTGAACGTTTCTCCTACCTCCTTCCTTACTACCTTTCTTAGGTGCTAATGGCTTCTAAACTTCTATTTAGTTTCAGTGTGAAGGAGACAAGTGGGCTATTTCAGGAGTCTCATAATCCATTACAGCACACTGGAAACAGCAGCCTCCAGGTGAGTGAATGAAAAAGGGGACCACTGTTCATATCCTTTTGGGCTAGAAAGCAACCACATAGAGTTAGGACTGTATGGTGACAGTATCTAGGCATTACAAGAACAAACCCATATACACTAATATGACAGGGAAATTCTATCCAGAAATCTAACTGTGGATGAATGCAGAGACCTGAAGTAACAGCAACATAATGCAAGAAGTTAATCACTGTGGATTGCAACTGCTTGAAAGCTTGTTGTCTACTACCCACCTGGATGGTTTTAGAACAGTAATGGCCTCCTCTTTCTTGCTGATACTTCATCAAAGCTTCCGCAGCTTTTCTCTCTTCCAGAGCTTGATGCAAGAAGAACTTTGAAACATTTGGTAGAGCCACATGCGACTGATCAAAATGTTCACCCTAAACACACAAAACAAGAGTGTTAAGATTTGCTGGAGATGGGACTCCCTTGCAGCAGCACCTGGCGTTAGCAGAACATGGGAGGCCCTTCCAATAGAAGCTGTTCTAGCAGCACAATCACTTTGAAGACCTTAATCCAAACTTCTGCAATAAATTAAGTAAGTAGTTACAGTCTTAAATTAAAACTCTAGACTTCTACTAGAACTCCTTCTGTTCTTTAATACTGGACAGGTAACTGTAATACTGGTGTTGTCTCTCAGTAACACTCAGAGATCCTCAGAATATTTTATTTAAGAGTGGTTGGGGAGCATGTGTGTGGGCTTTTTGTTTGGGTTTTTTTCTTTTCTTTTTTAAACATAGTTCCAGCACAGGAAACACAAGCTTTATCCCTTCAGGTCAGCATTCCAGTGAAAAGTTAGCTTTTAAAGGTATGAGAAAGATGAGGCAAATACCAGAAAGAGAACAAGCACAACTTTGCATCTGTTTATCAGCTTCATTGTGGACGTTATTCCAAAATAAAGAATACTGCTACTGAACTATACTGTATGCACCTTTAATACTGTATGTAGCTCATGCCTAGGAATACTTCAGAAGTATTACAATCCTAAACCCACTGCACACCTTGTTCCACTCTGTATGGGAAAGTAACAACTTTAACCACTGCAATATTTACCTATGCTAATAGATCCATCAGCTCTTACATTAGAAGAATGTTATCCATGGTACTGCTGTCCCATAAAGAGAAGATATTAGAGGCAGGCAGCAAAGCAGAGCCACCAGGTTCTGCTAGTTTCAACACTGTCTCTGCACAGCTCCGATGAGGAGAATGGAGGCAGCAGCTGGGAATACACCAAGAACCAAACTGAGGAAGCTACAGCATCTTGATCTGCTGCTGGTCCCTAAACGTGCATATGCAATACAGCACAGCTTTTGTCTCTTGGACATACTCTGGCTTGGAGTACTGAGTACCGAGTGGTTGGTTTGTAGCCTCCCTAGGAGGGGTAAGGAACAAGTATGTGCATTTCATAAGTTTTTCTGCTTCTTATTGTCTTCTCCATTTTTATCTATTGCCCTGCTTAAATATGAAATAGTTGTGTTTCATCTATGTTGCTCTGTTTAGAAAAAAAATGCAGAAAAGTTATATACGCAAGTTTATGTTTTCTGTTAATATTTTTATGGCCACCTGGGATACCCCAAGCCTGTGACACATACGCATCTGTGATCATAAACTATTCAAGAGAAAATAGATACTGGAATGTTTTATTAAGAACATTCACTGCAGTATTTGCATAATCCTTTTCCTGAAGTCATTCATTCATGTTTCTGCTGACAGAAGGGTCAAGATTCAGTGTTTTATAACCAGTTCCTCAGTGCAAGTTTGCTGCATGACTTCAATTGGAGCACAAGTTACCGCTCCTGCTTAACTGTTAAGGTAAATCTTTGTATCAATGACTAGCTATTGAAGATGTTCATATTTCTAAGGTTGATGTATCCACAGTCAATTTCTAACTGAGCTTTCTCCATCCTGCCCAGCTGCCAATCGCTAGTATTATTTTAATCCACATGCTTAACAAGCAGAGGTTTTACTGCATACTTAAATTTTTATTGGACTAATATTGACACCAAGCTTGATCAAAGGACCTTGGGGATAGACTGAATATAGTTTCTGCTGCTCCTCCGTGGATGCTGGGCATCAGACGGGATGGCATTGATTATTTTTTGATTTTAATGGCTTTGTTAAAATTTATGTTGATTTAATATTTAATAAGTTGCGACGCCATTCTGGTATGCGTGTTACACAGTATCGGAGATAACTTCTTAAATTCACGTCCGAGGTATCTCCTGCCCGTGGAGCACAAAAAACCCTATGCCGCCAGCCACGCTGACAAACTGTTATGCCAGCAGTTAACCGCACACGACTATTTTACGTATAAGGGCTGGGGAAAAAAACCACCCCAGAAAGAGCAGTGCTGGATCCAAAGCTGTGAGCGGCCCCTGTCCCCGGCCCCCCTTCCACGGGCACAGCTCTGTTTGAATTACCCGAAAGACACGAGCGCCCGATTCACCACCCGCTCGCTCCTGACTTCGTGGCCGGTTTTTCAGCGGCCAGCCCGGGCGAGCGCAGGGGCAGCAGCGCGGCGTGTGAGGAGCCCCCCGCACCCCGCCGGGGCAGGCCCCAGGGTCCCGGCGCTGCTCCGGCCCTGCCCGGCTCCGGCTCCCTGCTGAACCCCGGGCGG